TGGTACGCTTTCGGTGCATTTACCGTGCCGCTGATTTCCGAACAAAGGCGAGCACTCCCGGATATATTGTAATTGATTTATTAGTAGATTGATGGATTATACAGCGTCGTGGAAAACTGGTTGTTTTCAAAGGGACCGAATGCATGATGCAACGTTACATAGCGTTATCGCGTGATTCAATTGCACAAATTGCGCGGCAACTATTGCTTCGGCAGAACTTTTCTCCCTTTCTTTCTCACCAACCGATACGTCGACAAGCTGAATCTCAATGACTCCATAACTGACGAAGCTTTAAGCAGAAAAACGAACGGTTGTTATCGTTCGGCTAGAAAAAATTCAATACTCACTAGAGTTGGCGCCATGTTACAGCGACTACAGCGACATTGGCGATAACATTCGAAAAAATTTACAATTTTCCGACATTTTAATTTGATTATAGCTTTTTTTTATTAACAAATTATAAAAAACTAAGTTGAAATTCGTAATCAACGACCCAAAAAATACTTGATAAAAATTCTACAACAATAGTTATTGCACTTAAAATTCAATACAACACGAAAATGATCTGGACGCACCGGTGCGTCCGTGCCACTCACGGCACGGTTTTGGCTGGACGCACCGGTATTTTGAATAATTTTCAATTTCCGGCTCGCCATATTGGACCCGCCATTTTGAATCTTTTGACACTGGATTCGACACTGGACTCGACACTGGACTCAGCGACCCCAGAAACCCTCGGGTAACAAGTTTCACAAAATTATATGCACTAGAAAAAACCGTGCAACAAAGGGTTAAATAAGAGATCACAACTAACAGGTATGTTACATGTTACATTGTGTTTACTACACGGAGAAAACACAAAGAATATCATGTACCTAAGTATGGTTGGTGCAACAAAATAGTAATGTTATTTTTCGCTTATGCATATAAAAAGGTTGTAAGAACCATAGTACTCTGGAAGTGATTTGCATGGTTGCCACAATCTTAGTGAGGATAGCTGATATATGGATATAACCGTACGATATTAATAATACATATATAGGAATTTGATAATATATCTATAAGAATTTGAACGTGCATCTGCATCAAATATTGGTAAAATACATATTAGTGCAAAAAAAATCCACATTCTCTTCATCACTGACTTAAAAGAAAAGAGGAATAACAAAAATGTATCAAGTAATTGATAAACTTTTTCTAATTAATATAAATATACATATGTAAATGTGTATGTGTGTGTGTGTGCGTGTGCGTGTGCGTGTGCGTGTGCGTGTGTGCGCGTGTGCGTGTGCGTGTGCGTGTGCGTGTGTGCGCGTGTGCGTGTGCGTGTGCGTGTGCGTGTGCGTGTGCGTGTGCGTGTGCGTGTGCGTGCGTGTGCGTGTGCGTGTGCGTGCGTGTGCGTGTGCGTGTGCGTGTGCGTGTGCGTGTGCGTGTGCGTGTGCGTGTGTGTGTGTGTGTGTGTGTGTGTGTGTGTGTGTGTGTGTACGTGTATCAGTGTAAAAGAAATATTTGTTGTATTCAGTTTTTTAAAAACATAAGTTAAGATTTATTGAACATTACATTGCGTAAATAAGTTGCAAAATATAAAAAAATTAAGAATAATTACAATGCGTGTCTTAAAGTAACATACAATTTATGTTGTTCAAGATCTTTCTCTAAAGAAGCAAGTAAGGCCTTCTACTGATTCTATTAATATCTTATAAATATTCTGAAACAGAAGTAATTTCTTTGAAATTATTTTAAAAAAATGGTTAATGATTTTTCATCATACACAAAAATGAAAATTTTATTTTGAGTTTTAAATATGTAAAAAAAAAATAAAATATAGATAAATGCAGGGTTCTTATTTCTAAAGTCAAAATTTCACTGCAAGTAGGTGGGAAATTATATATATAACTTTAATCTTACATTATCACTTGTATATGAATTGTGTGAAGGTGAATATATCATACATCTGTAGGAGTAGAATCTTCTTTCTGCTTTTCAATACAACTTATATATTTATCACTTGGAGAAACCGGAGAGATAATAGTTGTATCATCAAGATCGTCAAAGGTATTTTGGTCTGCGCTAAGATCTTGAAGCTCCATAATAAGAGATAATAATTCATTACTAGTGGATGGAATAGATTGGGTAGATTCCACTTTTCTTCTTTTACAATCCAGTACTGAGCTATTCAAAGCATCACTCTACAAGCAATTGTAAAATCGCTTTCTACTTCATTGTTCTTGAGAATATTTATAGAGAAAGTTTCAATTATTAGACATATCAAACTAAGGCGGAATTCACCTGTTTACTACAAAGGGAAAAATATAATTTTTCAAAATTCATTCGATCAATCGCCTTAGGCATCAGTTCTTACAAATATTTTTCATTGTTTTCAAAGAAACATGATATGTCATTTCTTACGATACCATGTTCTAGAAATATTTTTTCAAAATATATTTAGAAACAACAATTTTATAAAAGAAACGTTTTTATTCAAAGGAAAATTTCGTGTAGTCCCAGACAGCACAAATCTCCAAGGGACGTCCTAAAAACGTCCAGATGACGTTTTCATGTTTTCAGGGCATCCCCAGGATATTCTTAAGGTATCTCTTGGAATTTTGTGTCGTCGGGGGTTGTTAAAGTAACAAAGCTTAAACATTTTTATTATATCGAATAGGAAACATAATCTTAAATCACAGCCTTCTTAATCTGAAAGATCTTATCTTTGAAAATAGGAATATAATGCTCAATTCCATTGTTTTTTAAAAATAACTCACAAGCTTCGTCCATATTTCACTGCGTTTTCTCACATACACGTTATAAGATCACTACAAAATAGTCAGTGACCAATGCTTTGCACTGCTTATCCATATGTGCTTGCGCAAGAATTTTCATTTGTTAATGTATCGCGCAACAAAACACTATGAATCTCTCAACCATAGTACTTGTTCTACAGACCACAACAGAAAGACAGCAATATCTCTTCGATTGAGGCAACTATATATGAGGACATATTAACTAAACATTACGTATCATAAGAATTGTGGCTGTAAGAACTGTATAGATGAACATATAACAACAATAACTTTTAATGTCATTTCATCTATTTAATTTGAAATCACATAAATTTTCCCTGTAACCATGGAATATGAGAATGCAACAATCATAAGAGTTTTCTCCGTGTAGGTTCTCTGTTTTTCTCTCTTTTCCCTTGAAACATATAACGGAGAACTTTGACATATTGTTAAGTAGTAACTACACGCACATAACTATAGCGCATTCGTTTGTGGACTACGCTTTCGCCTTACCTTCTCGAAATTACAGATCGACTGGGAATACTATCTTCTTGCGCATCTGTTGCACACGTACAACGCGTACTCTACTTTACTATATGTACACATCCGTCTGTCTCACCGTGAAAAAACATATCCTCACGGTTAAGAACGATCGATTCCATCGAGCGGTTGCTTCGAGTCTTCCGGCGCGTCGTCGTTTGTCGCTCGCTTGTTCACGAAGGAAAGGAAAGACGAAAGGAGCAATGCCACGCGACGCGAAGTAACGGGGTTGCTCTTGATTGTCCTCGCGATGTGCTCGCGATGCGCTCACGATGCATCGACCGGACGAACGGTACCTTTCGCTGCGGACTCTGTGCTCCACGGCCGTCATAAAATCACATTGCTCCACGGTGAGGAGGAGATTGGACTCGTCTTGGTCTCTCCCTTCTCTTCTTCTTCCTTCTTTCTCTCTCTCTCTCTCTCTCTCTCTCTCTCTCTCTCTCTCTCTCTCTCTCTCTCTCTCTCTCTCTCTCTCTCTCTCTCTCTCTCTCTCTCCCTCCTCCCTCCCTCCCTCCCTCCCTCCTCCCTCCCTCCCTCCCTCCCTCCCTCCCTCCCTCCCTCCCTCCCTCCCTCCCTCCCTCCCTCCCTCTCTTTCTCTCCCTCTTTTTCTCTCTCTCCCTCTTGCTCCTTTCTTCTGTTGGTTTTCTCTTCCTCTCGCTTCTCCTCTCCTGTACTTCCTCCTCTTCTTTTTCTTCTTCTTCTTGTGCACTGATAACAACATCTTCTGACACGGGATTTCATGAAAGTAAGCAACGGTATATATGTCGCAAAAGCAGCTTCTATATATATGTATATATATATATGTATGTATGTATGTATATATGTATGTATGTATGTATGTATATATGTATGTATGGCTCCCTTCTCTCTCTATTTCTCTCGTTTTGTTTTTTTATTCATCTTTTCCCATTTCTCTTCCCTGCTTCATCTTCTCATCAGCCCTCTCCTTCTTCTGTTGGATGGTCCTGCTGTTGCTGCTGATGCTGATTCCGATGTTGCTGCTGCCGTTGCTGCTTCATCATCCTCTTCTTCTTTTTCTTCTTTCTCTTCCTCCTCTTCCTCCTCCTCCTCCTCCTCCTCCTCGTCCTCCTCCTCCTCCTCCTTCTCCTCTTCTTCTTCTTCTTCTTTTTCTACCGTCGTCAATTGCCCCTTTTCTGTAACGGTGACGCCGGCTTCCCGTTACGCGTCCAACTTGAACTGCCCGCGAACGCGACAGCCTATTCCTTCACATAGGCGAGCTTCGGTTACATTATGGATGCAATCAATTATTTGCCGAATGGACGAAACAAAAAAAAGATGCAGGCCGATGGTTGCATTAAATATCTCACCTGTGTTCCGGACGAATTCATAATGTCTCTCGATGGGGCGAATATGAGAGCGACTGCGAGAGCGTATTTTCTTTTACTGTATATTTTATTTAGAAACTTAACACTGTGTGTAGGTAAAATAGGGTGAAGGAAAATCTCGAAAGAGAGACAAAGATATTGTTTGTCAGATTGCTCGTAGAGTAACACGGGAGCATAATTTTAACGATGAGCTCTAATGAGGTCCTCGAAGGATCGAGATTTATTTTAGTCAGAGAAATATAGAAAAAAATTGATTCATCGCGATTTCCCGTTGAGAACGTGTTTATCTCGTGTCTCGTGTTAATTTCTTCGTCTTCTTACTGTTTTACAGAACAGCATTACGCGGCAGCTGATTCAAACAGTTCTACGCCCGCCAAAAGTTTCGTACCCTGCAAGGTCTGCGGCGATAAGGCGAGCGGTTATCATTACGGCGTAACCAGCTGCGAAGGTTGCAAGGTGAGTATCACGTATCAAAGATCGTTATCGCGAGGGAACGAGAGGCTCGACTCCAAAGTTTTCCAGCTGAAAACACGTACGCTATGAAGTTTATACTAATGTTTACACTCGAGAAAAGAACCGCAGTATGAAACGCTTCGTGTCGGCTTTTTCGTTCGACGTTGTCTGCGAAAAATTTAATAATAATCACTTTAATAACAGAAGTAACCGTTCAATTACACAGTCTCAAGATAGTGTGAGGACAGAAATATAAATATAAGTTACATAAAATAAAAATAATTTAGTTACATAAGTATATATAAATAACACAAAAACACATAATTTTATCTTCGATGGCTTTAAATCCAAACGATGCAATGATAAGATTGATTTGATCATCAATAATCGCAACGACCACGTCTTCGGGGAATAAAAGGATATGCAATTTTGTGGTATATCGCAAGTACTGTGAGTTGTTTCTCTTGAATCATGATTAATACGCAATTGTTCCTCTATCGCAAAATCGTACCTGCGATTAAAAATTGCGTCTATGATTCAGAAATCACACTTACAATTCAAAGTTATATAATTCGCCAAAAGTTGTATGGTTTCAAAGAAGACATGGTATAACAACTATATCATTTTGTTGATAGATAGCGCTACTTTCGAGATATTCACTCATCATTATTTTTCTTAAATGGAAACCCTATTTTTTTATTATATCACCTTTTCCTACAAATTAATTTGAACAACTTTTGTCTGAAACATTTTTTTATTTGCCTAATATTTTTTTAGATATTTAAGGAAAACTCGGTAACTTTTCCAATATTTAACTCGCTGATATCTTGCTGTTTGTCGGAAGAAAAAACTTTTGGTACTAAACTTTTTTACTTTACTTGGTCTCAAGAATATATCGTTACAATAACGCCCTGACTTTTGTTAATTTGATGATTTTGAAATTTCCAAAGGTCGATAAGTTAACAAAAGTTAGGGCTTTATTGTAACAATATTTTCTTGAGACTAAATAGTAAATAATAAAAAAGTCTAATATCATTTTTTCTTCCGACAAACAGTTAGCGAGATATCGTAAGTTAAATATTGAAAAAGTTACCGAGTTTTTCTTAAAGTTTTCCTCAAAAAATTTTAAGCAAATAAAGAAATGTAGGCAAAATTGTTCACATTAATTGGTAGAAAAAGATGATAAAATAAAAAATTGGGGTATCCATCTAAGAAGAGTAATGATCAGTGAATATCTCGAAAGTAGCGCTATTTATAGACAAAATAATGTAGTTGTTATATGCCCCCTTTGAAACTATATAACTTTTGTCTGAAACATTTTTCCCTAAAATATCGCGTTTATAAAAAGATCGGTTTGCACGGGTGGTCTATGACACCGTGTATATTATTTGTTACAGCAAAGAGCCTCGGCTAGCCCCATGCAAAAAATGCCCGTTTTCGATACCTCGATTTTTGAAACTTTTTTTATGCCAAATGGTTACTTATGATGACCCAAAAATCCCTGCAAAATTTCAAGATGAGCATATGCCCCGTTTAAGAAATATAGGGGGTCAAAGTTGACCATGTCCAATTAAAAAATATAGCAGCTTCACATTTATACTCCAATAATAATGTCCAAAAAATTCAGCCGAAATAGTTCTTTTAAGATTTTTGGCTGCTGATTACGAATCTGAAGTCAGATTTTAAAAATTCAAAATGGTGGATCCAATATGGCGGACGAATTTTTCTTAAATTCATCAGATTCACTTGAAACTCGTTACTCAGGGGTTTTTGGGGTTCACCAAATACGAAAGAGATAAAAAACTTGTCATCTTTACTTCTTCTTTACTTATCACAGCTAATGCATTTAACGAAAGGCATTTCTACTAGAAAATCGAACTTTTTGAAGTAGAGCATATAAAAACTTTTTAAACAACAAAAAACCATAGATTTAAGTCATTAGCATGAAAAAACAAAGAGTACAAAAAAAATTTTACCATTTATCATTAATAATATTTTTCAAACAACAATATTTCCAGATTTTCGAAACTGAAACTTTTATTTTATTACATTCGCAAGCGTACGATACAAATAAGATGTAGGATGGAATGGAATGTTAATGAAATGATGATCTGCTGATCGTCTTTTGTTTTCAGGGTTTCGTAACTCTAGGCCGAACTCTTTAAAACGAGACTCAGTCCGCTCGACGCTCACCGCTCCTAGGTAGAATGTAGGTCCAATGTGAGGAAAAATAGGTCCATTGTAGGGCAAAATAGATTCTATGTAGGGTCAAAGTAGATTTAATGTAGTGACAAAGAAGATTTAGTGTTGGTTAAAAGTTAGTTAACCGTTAGATTCGTAATCAGCGGCCCCAAAAACCCCCGAGTAACGAGTTTCAAGTGAATCTGATGAATTTAAGAAAAATTCCTCCGCCATATTGGATCCGCCATTTTTAAAATCTGACTTCAGATTCGTAATCAGCAGCCAAAAATCTTAAAAGAACCATTTCGGCTGAATTTTTTGGACATTATTATTGGAGTATAAATGTGAAGCTGCTATATTTTTTAATTGGACATGGTCAACTTTGACCTCCTATATTTCTTAAACGGGGCATATGCTCATCTTGAAATTTTGCAGGGATTTTTGAGTCATCATAAGTAACCATTTGGCATAAAAAAAGTTTCAAAAATCGAGGTACCAAAAACAGGCATTTTTTGCCGATGCTCTTTTCCATAAAAAAGAACACCTTCAACTATTAAATCGAAAATAATTCTATTAAGTCGAAAATCTAACCTGTCTGTCTTCAGCTAATTTAGTTAATACACAAGTTTGTAATAGCTTCAAAGTTTACGTAAAGGCTTTCCGGGCTATTCAATTATTGGATGATAGATCCTAAATTAGCATATGTTCCCCGGATTTTAGACGAAAACTAACGACAGCATCGTGTTCAACGGGTCAAAATCCTTTGGAAATGATATGTTTTATCCATTCCCTACGATGGGCCAAAATCGACTCTTTTTTCTTTAAAAAATTATTTAATAAATTTTCTTGCGAGTAGTTTCGTCCAGTTACTCTGAAGTAATGAATTTTTTTTTTAACTTGTTATATAACATTCATTTAGTGAATCCTTTTTCAGTTACACCCTGTAGAAATGGTTAAAAAAAATTACTTTTACCTTTCTTTTATATGATTTAGATGCTATAAGTACACAGTTGGTTTCAATGCAAACGTAGCTCACATGTTCTTAAAAGCTTTTAACATTATATATACATGGTTTGATCAATTTGTTCGAAATTTATTTCATTCCATTTACTTGTGAAGATTTTGTGGAATGTGATATTTAATGGTATAAAAGTAAGAAAATAAATTTAAAATCATTATAGACATGCAAACATTTTTATTTGCGACGAGATAAAGAATATATGTATGTATCCTAGTTTTCTCATGTTTTGTATGTGCGTGCGTACAAGTAAGTAAATATTTTTGTCTATGTATGTGTTTATATTTATTTTCATTTTTATTTCCTACATAATAATATAATAATAATATAATAATATTTAATAATAATAATTTAATAATAATATAATAATTTAATAATATTTAATAATAATATAATAATTTAATATAATAACTATGTTTTACTAATTATTATACTAATTATTATAATTGTTTAATATTATATTATAGGTTATTCTATCAATCTTTTTATACTGTACTAATAACAAGCTCGATTTGACTCGCAATAAAAAACGATATAATTTTTCGTTTTACAAAGATATCCCCTTTTTTTGAAAATATATTTCGAATCTTAGAAAATTTCCACGATGCTACATTACGCGTGCTACATAGCACATGCTTCCATTTTTAATTATTTTCCCAAAGTAAAAAATTGTGTTTTCTTACAGTGGACATTTCAAAATATTTGGATGCGAAGAGAGAGAGAGAGAGAGAGAGAGAGAGAGAGAGAGTGGATTTATTTATTTTTAACATGTTTAACTTTTATTTAAACATTACGGTTTCCATCATGCCCCAAGTTCCCTTATGATTAAAAATCGAGATAACGATATAAAATCGTGCACGATTGAAAATCGCGTTTGCAATACAAAATTGTGATGCAATATATTGCGTTCATCGCGATTCTCAAAAAAGATCGCATCTCACATACACAATCGCACATCCTTAGGAACAAGTTTGTTTTCATGTTTTACAATTCATCGTCGTGTGGTGACAGATAACGAAGTATCCGTGCATGACATTCGATCGAGAAAAGAAATCTTTAGGAACGACATGTAGACACAAGTTGCTTGCGCCGATACTTTCCTCTCGATACTTCACTGTGAGTGAACCGATCATCGATTTGACCCTGTGGTAGTGGTAGTGGGGTCAAGTGCAACTTACGGAGCTTCGATCCGCAAGGATGCATGACGACGATGCATCGTCGGGTATAATAATCCGAAACGACTCGTTCGCACTTCGGGACAGGATATTTATCGGTACGCGCGCGCTTCTTAAACATCGTGGGAGAGGTGCACATTCACCGCTGGTGTGCGCGCTGTGCACGCCTGAGATTTCATACGCGGAAGCCCTAAGGCCGGAGTTAACGGTGAAATGGTGCATTCTCACATTTACGCTAGCGAGTTCTGCGGACTAACATACGTACGCACATATACGCATGAGCACGCGTATAAGTTGAATGCGTGTATAATTCTGTTACGGTAAAGTCACGTAAAATTAGCTGAGGAGTGAGTCCTCGTTCACTCACGCTTCTCCAAAATTTTCTCGTGAAACATGGTAATAAACAACAAAATCTTTACGTTTGTAATGTTGCACGAGTAGCTTCTGAGCCACCATTTGCGATACTCGGCAATGAAACTCGCAGAGGAGTACGAAGCAATGTTGAGAATTAATCGATCAAAAAATCACTGTCGACTAAAATAATCGGCAAAATCTATCATCAAAAACAATAAATTAATCAATAAATAGTCATGTATGTAATTATGAACAATATATTTATCTAATAAAAT